GGGACCACTTTAGATCATACAGCACTTTCTGTCACCTGCCAGATATCAGAGCTTATCTGTTTACAATGAATTTAAGCCAACGGGCCGCATAGCCAAGCTGGTGTATGAGCTGAAGGCGTACACAAACACTCGACAAGGCTGCCTCTGCTCGCGAAGTCAGAGAAAATTAGCACTGATCTATTCTGTAGCACGGCTTCGCACGTCTGCAGAGCAATCGGCGGGAAACAAATCAGCGGTGACATCACACAAGCAAGTGCATCAGATCGAAGGGAAGCACCACTTACTTTCTGTCATCGCCGCCAAATAGGTCATTTGGTTGTCACGAGCAGCCCAAATGAGGAGCGTGAAGACTGGTTTGATTAGCATCGACCATAAGACAAACAATAATAGCAGTACAACTACTGAGGAAGAGGTCAAGGCGATAAGCAGCAAAACAGCTATCGCCAGAGGTATAGGGTGATGCGCTAAACTAGATAGAGGAACTCAGGTTCCCATAACTTCTCTATTGCTGCTAAAAAGATGAGGTAACATTTGAATTTATCAAAGGTTCGAGATGTTGGTAGCTATAATTCCGCCAGGGCAGTGCACAGACACTTCGTATAAATGGATTACTCATATAAATGGGAGAACGTATGAACAAACTGTGAAACGTTCAATGACGAAATGATTTTTTTAGGCAAGCATCCATTGGTTGAAAACGAAATAGTTAATGCTTACAACAGCGGTTAGGCATCAGTACTTAGTGCCGATGCTGATCCTGATATTGTCAGTTTGTGTCTGCACAAGGATTCGAAGATCGTGCTAATATCTAACTAGGGCATTGAATTGCCTCCGCAAAGCGTAATGTTTGCTGGAGTTGAGTCAACAGGTGAGTCAAATAAAACTGCACCATTAAAAGCCAAGCTTTGTAACAAGTTACGTCAAGTAACTGAAGAACAGACAGTAGTGCCAGTTAACTTAAGGTGTAGGAATGTTGTTATATTGAAATAGACCGTGGTAAATAAAGAAAGAGTGCACGAGGAAGACGTTTTTTGTGGTAAAGTAATAATAGGATAATCAGCAAGTATCGACTATTTACCGCGTCACTATAATAACCGCAATAACCGAAAACCAGCCAACCACTACAATTATAGGAACCCGCCGCGCTTATTGCACCGGAAGGCCAATTTGCCTAAAGTGTATTGATGATGCGGCTTGCCAACACCCTCAGAAAATTTCAGAAAGTGGTGGCATATCTGGACGAACGGACTGGCAAAGGTGCGCCATTCTCGTTCTTCGGTGCTTTGATTACAGTAGGGAACGGGTGCGACAAGCATCGAAAAAATATTGAGAGCATTACCCGATGTCTATTTAACTGTTTTCTTAGAAACATCTAATTTTTTATAAAGACGATGAAGTTCCTTGGTTTTCCTTTTTTGAAAGTTGGAATACAACCGAGAATCAAAAAGCTGGAAGTTGCATCCAAGTATCTAAAACCGAAAAACGGAACCAAAATGAGAAGATTTCTTGAAATACCAAGTTTCTTTGGCGATATATAAAAGGATATGCTATGATCGGAAAAAAGCACATTACTAAGCAAATCGGCAAAATGTCTGTGGAACAAGCGATGCCAAGAAGACTTTAAAACAAGAAAAGGTGCTCTTCTGAGTAGACCAGTGCTGCTGACTTTCAAGGTTCATGCTAGATGAACTGCAGGCTAACATCAATATAGTTGAACTGCTGCTTCACAATGATTGGCGAATGGTATGTGCAATTACTGGATACTGTTGTCAAATGAGTGCCATAATCATATGACGGAGTCGAGGTAACTAGCTGTCCTATAGGCGTAACAAAGGCTTAAACTGCTTTGAACGAGTTGGTTCCTACTCATTCGTATACGGTAAGTTCTTTATTGTCGTGTCTGACTGTACCGTTGTAACAGCTTTCAAATCCAGCCATTGCAGATAGCGCGATCATTAGGCCAACTGTCATGCTCACGTTCGAAGTTCGATAGTGACCACGTACAGCAAAGAAACATGCGGATGCACTGAGTCGAGGCCTTACAGAAAACCTTAAACAAACACAACACTGAAACGGCATCTGCTTATTCACAGTCGTCTATGCTACACACAGGAGATCTGTGAATGAAAAAAGTATTTATTATAGCGGGAAAGAGAGGAACGAATTGCTCTAAATCAAAGCATACTTCAACTCTGCTATCCTGCGAATTCAACGAACAGAAGAGCAACGGTGTGATAATTCGAAAAAAAAAACAGCTTGTGGTATTTTTATCGATGCGAAAATACATGTGCATTATCTGCTATGATCGGGCAGGCCCCGATCACGAATGAATCCTTGGCGATGGTTATTTAACGATACTGATCTTCGAAGTTGCATTGAGCAACACATTCGGGCGCGTGCCGGGTGCATTTTCAATAAAAATTCAACGGGCCGAAGGAGGATCTGTACCTGATCGTGCCCTGACGCTGATCTTTCCAAAGACTGTTTATCAATCATTTAGAACCATTATCTAAATTCGTAGAAAAAGGAGAGGTTGCCGTTGATAGCCCGCCCAAATTTGCCTTATTAGAGGCAATCAGTTCGATTAGCACGGTACAGTAATTCGGTGTCTGGAGCAAGCGATGCTTCGTTATGGCGCTGACGTAATAGTTATGTACGGGGAAGTGCGTTGACATTTAAGCAGGTCAATGAATTCATGATCCCGCAAATAGGCATCCTTTAATCTTCACACAGCATCCGTAAAATAACAATCAGTGTGAGCGCCTTAAGAAAAAAAAAGTGGCAAGATAATTTTGAGCCAAATCGCAAAAATTGTCTAGGCTAGATCGTTTGAAGCTTCTCTTATTTTTTCAACAGTTATTCACGTGTAACAGCTTCCGGAGTCCAAAAACAAGTGTAGATGTCAATCGGATAAGCTCGGTTATAGATGGAGATCAGCTCATTATAGATGTGATGCTCGAAAGATGCATTGACGAATGTTAGATGTATGAGCTATAAACGCTAATTTTGTCATTTAACGTTATGGTTTAGTTTTCGTTAGCGCTAAATGTTGGCACGTAGACGACGATAATCAACGTCGTGACGATGAAAAATCATCGTAATAATGAATAATGCACTTAAAAACAACTACTATAATATTAATAGACTTGATGCTGAGGAGACAGAGATGTCAATGGTTTGACGGAAGAACGACAATAATAATAACATGAGAAATGAATAGTACTGGCAAAATTATGAACAATCGTGCTTCCTATGAGAATTGTAACGATAAAATTAACTATCGCAATTTGAGAGAAACAGTTAATGAGGACACCGACGAGCAGAATGGTCAGCTATGAGAACCTAATTAGAGCTAAAGTACGTCTATATATCATTGCCCAACTGCGTGCGTTGCTCTTATGTCCGTCTGACCGTGGAAGTGATATCATCGTAGGAAACACAAGCTCAAATCTCAATTATTGCCTGACCCTGTGTTTTTGCTTTATTTGCTATTTTGCCCTATTTATTTTTAAAGGAAGATTGTGATTTTTCCAGTGCCCAGCTCAGCTTCTATAGTCTTTCGCCTGCCACTCGTAAGTGTGCGTATCTTAAATGGTCGAAAAATTACTGGTGGTTAATGGTAATAGTTAAAGTTAAAGAAAATAATTTTATATATTAAAACAACTGTACTAAACTAAATATTTTCCGCGCTGGTCGACTACTTTCTGCCATTTTTCTGGTAAAACCGTAATTCTATTACTGTAGAACCCTGTGATTTCGGGACGAAAATTTGTGACAAGCGATTTCCGTACACGTTTATTGAAACTAAATGACCGACATTAAGGTAAGTCTGTTATATGGCAAATACATTAAAATTTCATATTCGTTTCAGTTTTTGTCGGATAGCTAAATATGCATATGGTTTGGAACTGTCATGATGGGAAACGACGCCTTCTTGTTCACTGGTCTTAATCGATTTTTTTCAATGGCATGTTGTCATCTTCTTAGTCGTTAACAGCAGAAATCCAAATCGATCGTTTTGCCGAGCGGCAGCAACTCATAATGCACATTTTTTTTCTAATCCCACCAAACACAGCATCATATTATCTGACGTCAATTCGGGCTATTCCACAAACTGTAGAGCCTTCTCGCATTTTGGCGTTGATTTACTCCGCACATCACAGTCGTATCCGATCCACTTCGTGATCAACCGTGTTAGGTGTAACTCTATTTTTGTTTCTGTAGAGTTTCGCAAATTAAAATATGATGATGTACTCTGGTGTTGCTTTGTACGGCACCCAAATAGAAAGTCTTTTTATTGTGTTTATTTGTCTTTAAAAGACGTACCTTTTACCATCTTAACGATGTCATAAGTACTCAGATGTTAAACTTGCTCAACCTTGGCAATAATTATATCGTTATTTTTGTAATCAGCCGTCCACTGCGAGAAGCACGTTTCGCAGTTCAATTTCCAGAATGAAAGCAACATAAGGCCATTTCCTTCAATAAGGTATCCTGACCACTAACAGCACATTTTTTTAATGGGTTTTGGCAACATCTGTGCCTCTATCGTAACAACATTATCAACTGTAACATATTTTTGCACAGATATCACCTCTCTTCAAGGTGCTCTATCTTAAGTCTGAATAAAAGCACATCCATTATCGCCAAACCTCATCTTTCAGATCACGCCAAGGTCAACCTGATACAACTTATATTACCTAAAACAAGTAAGCCGTCTACCTAGAAAAATCGTCGATACCTTGTCGACAACCCGAAATTACAATGCGTTTTTTTACACAACGTGACCGATCTTTGAACCTCATTGACGACATCTATATGTATATAATTAATTGAGTCCGGCTTGATATATAATTACCGCCAGTTTCATTTATGTGCTAGTTGTTTTCATCAGTTGTCTTTTTTGCTTTTTTTCCTCTGAAGTAACGGAAATTCATCTCTTTATCAGCCTACATGTCAAAGGCTCGCTGCTGTATATTACTGTCGCATGTTCCAAGCTTCTTTTATTCAGCTTGATGTTTCTGGTTTGTGCATAGCCCCTTTGAGGTTAGCGGCTGACCTGAGATGATCCTGTGGAACATGCGGACACTTAATGAAGAAGTATGACACAGGAAGGTATTGATTTTAGTGTGTTCGAAATCCAACTAAAGAAGTAAAGTGACTTGCTCTTTTTATCGTATCATTCAGCTTGCTCTCATTTCTTTTCTGCTTTGTTTTATAAATCATTATTAGCAGATAGCTTGTTCGCTCATGGTGGATCGCGCAACATGTCAACAGTACACTATTCTCAATCCACTCTTTGATTTTTCTGTTTTTACATTGACCAATACAGATTTTACAAATAATTATTACAAACATTTAACCAATATTTACAGTCCGTTATTGTAAGACGTTTTACCCATAGCGGCGTATAGACAGAGCATGGTAAATAGTTCGTATGCTGTAGAGCCGCAGAGGATGACATTATCTGGCACCGCTCGTTGGTTTCGAGGCATTTCGGTGGCGTAACAATGCATAACGCTGGGTTGTTCGATACTTCGTGGAAGACGTGGGTTGACGTTAGGGTAGAATGTTCGTCGATAGCCTCACGAACGTATTTCGGTAGTCAATGCTGACCAGAACGGCAAGCTCACCAACTATAATGTGTCAGTCCCCAAAATTAACGAAGCTACAACTGAAACCTTTCGTAAATGTCACTTTTACTGGTTTACTAGAAACGTTTAACCAAGATATACGTAGGCAGCTCAACGTCAGTTCAATCGTTTGCTGTGTCAGCAGCTCCCGAGACTCACAATCGCACACCGAGTTAAAGGGTTATTTTACGTCACTGCCAGCTTAGAGAATGAAGGACCGTTGTCAAAGATCAAGTTGGTGCAAGCCAAGATCGATGTGAGAAATCGATGCACCGTAAGGGAGTCGAGGTGACACCTGGATATTCGTTAGAGGTGGATCCATGGAATTCTTTTTTAATGAAGAGTTCGAGTAATACAGGTGACGCGCTATTGTCTACTATTAAGTAAAGTAAGTGATAAGCACTGAAAATTATCTTGATGAAATGGGTGAAGAAGTACGTTAGCTCACCTCCTGCGTCTACTAGTCTACACGCTGATCGTAGGGGTGACATTTCCTATTGCACTCAAATGTTCGTTTAGGTTAGTGTCCTATATCTCCTGTAAGACAATCATAAAAACTTCCCTCTTTATTTGATTTTCGCTTTCTGGGTTGGACCATAAGTTTTTCCTATCAATAACCTTAAGGTTTCACAATGCCGTGGCTGTGAGCACCAAAGTAGCTACTGTCGCTATCGTGTGGTAGTACTGGTAATTTTCAGTGTGCGTTGGATCCCTTATGCAAGACTTCTGAAACTCGCTATCGTCGTATCGGTGCCGCCAAGACCGGGCATCCCAAAAATGTCATCGATTCTAACACCAACATCGACACACGTCTTTTTCCTTTGCTTAGGTCGTGGACGTTTAACAGTAATCCAGCCAGTTGCCTATGACCTTCTTAGCGTCAGCTATTACTGCCTTGACACGATCCATGCCTCTAAGTCGTAAGCCTGTCGCGGTTTTGCCTTGTGTGCCATGATCATCAGTAGTTACCGCAAGAATGAGTTTCTAGGTCCTTGCTTCAGTTATCATGATCGATCCTATCAAACGCCTGATATGCCGGGGATAAAAACTTAATGATAACTCTTTTTTTTTTCTTTAGGTAAGGTGTTTTTCCTTCCCTTTCGTTTTGCTCCACAGCAACTTGTGCGGCCTTCCGCAAGGACCATACTTTATATTAGTTAAAAGTTCTTCCCGTTTTCACTTTAGGAGACCTTCCTTCTCGGCTGTTTTTATCTTTAGAAAGACTACTAATAAGTTTTATTGTCAGATATGGGTCTGCATAGCTTTTTCTTGCTTAAGGTCGCGGCAAGCTCGTAGGCAGCCTCTCCAAACGTTCTCTACGTCTACGAGATTTACTTCCCTTTGGATGCCTGAGCTCGCAATGTTGTTTTAGTAGTTCATACAAGGCTGCCAAATTTGGCGGGGGCCTCTAGTCATAATTCCCGTCTCATTGCTGTGCTAGTTTCTTACTCTCTTTGGTGTAATTTCTTGAAGGACAGGGCGATTACGTTCTAGGGGTGGAGCCTCCCTTAAGCATGTTGTATTTAATGCATCAGTGATTATTCACGTTTCCTTATTTAGCACCCTTAAGCGTTCAATCTCCAGAACAAGTGCAAACTCACAAATTATGAAGTAAACGTGAAGGATTCCTTGGTCACTGTAGAAGGTTTGTATTTCTTGATCGTTAGTTGTAGTCAGATTGTGTTTTGCCACCAAATCCTCGATTAGGGAGTCGCTAGTGTTCGTGGCGTAGGGATCTCAAGTTGCAGAAGCTTGGTCGAGGTCTCCTGAGAATACCAAAAAAAGGGATTCAGTATCTTAAACAAAGCCTTATAAATATTTCAGCAATTGTTCAAGCTCTCCATTGTGCGTTTTGAGCAGCTACAGCAGAAATGAAGCCTCCTTACCCTCTAATATTTCGACGCAAAAAAGCCCTTCTCGGTGGCATTTGCTCTTGTGAAAGCTGTTTTTGTTAGTATGTTTCTTCCATTCCTTTTTTCGGAATGCAATCTATATTAGATTCGCTTTTAAGCAGTAAGTCCATTTCTCCATTATTGTCACCTCCGTGAAATCGTCACAATTCACATGTGAGGCTGTCCAACAGTTATAGAATTTCGACGTTTCATTGCACTCACCTGTGACATCTTTTTCCCGTAATTACATCATTTGTACATTCCTTCGCTTTGTATCCGCTCTTTGGCGCTTGAGACGGCGAGGACCCACTCAACAACCAAATATGAGGTCCAACTGATGAAGAGGTAGCCAGCTTCTGTGAATTATTTCATTGCGTCGTCGCCTGAAAATCGTACTGTTATGGGAAGTCATCTGGTAGACCCCGTCATAAGTTTATCTAGAATAAGTTTACCCTTTATGCTTGGAATCCGGTCTCTCGTTCTAAATACGGCTTTTTTGGTGATACCCTTCCCTTGATTCTTAATCATTGCCTCCCTACGCATCTCAACTTGTACGATTGTCTTCCTGTAGTCGAAAGAGCTCAAGAGAACCCCTCGAGCGCTCTCCGAGCTTGCAACTGATGTAGCCATTGTTTAGTCCTAAAACGTTGATAACGACTCCGTTGTGCTGTGTCAAATCAGCCTCCTGCTCTAGTTTTTCGAGTATGTCTGTCTAAATGCATCCCGCGATTCTAAACTAGGATGGAGCTTCTTTGAAGGCTTTCTTTGCTTATTGCCAGCTTCCTATTACGTTTATTATTTATGACTATAAAAATAATGATTAGGCTCTGTCTAATAATATAGCTATGCATAACGAATAGTAATAGAATGTATATATTAGTTATTATGTAGCTAATATATACATTCATAAATATCCTTGATGCCGCTATCTTCGCCGTCGTTTATCAGATTACTGGGTATTTTCTTCGTGGATTTCGGGGCAATTTTCTTGGCCGTCCTGAGCATATGGTTGATCAGTTTTCATGCTTTCACTCTCGTGGCTTACTTTCAGAATCTGATAATCTAGAATAAAACCTAGTGTGAGTTTTCTCCTCTTCTCCCATCTTTATGTGGTTCTAAATTTAACATCGCTTGCTTTCACCGGTGAAACCGTAGAATTCGGTGGATATATTTTGAATGTTAGTGCGTTCGCGATGTCAGCATCTGTAAATTTTGTCCCAGCTGGGCATGTTCGCAAACATATTTCTAGATCATTTCATATTTAATAACAACTCTAGGTTTTTCTAGGAGTTCCCTGTATTAGTTAGTTTCTCGATTGTTTTTATCCTCGGGTCCTCTGCAATCGTCTTTGGGTTTGCACGCCGAAAATGTGAAAATTTACCATAGGTTCGCTTTTTGGATCGTTTTGTATACTCTTGTTCTTTTCTAAGAATCTGCGCTATTTTACCCGGCTATGAAAGGATTCGCTTTTTGATTAATCGGTCTGTGCGTATTTTTATGTAGTAGTCTGTCATTTGTTTAGGAATATGGTATACACATTCAGTTTATTGCTATAATGGCCAGTTTATTCTGTTTCCTTAGCCAGCTTTGTGTGCTGTGTGTAAGATAAAATCCAACGGTTCTAATGTACTATATGACGTATCAAATTTTTATTTTTTTGTTAAAATGAAAAGATAACCAGGATATGCCACTGTGTTTCGCCTGCTTAGCCGGAAATCGAAATCGGAACTGACTTTATAAGATTTGCGGCAGGTAACGAAGCTGTGAAGTAGGATTTTGACGATTTGACGATCCCAAATGATCCACAAGTAACGATGGAAGATTGATAAAATCACATAGATATAAAAAGAAGCAATTGTATAATAATGGTCTTGCATGAGAATGCAAATGTACACGATATTTGCCTAAGACTATTATAAATTTTATCTTTTCTTAAGAGAAGTACGAGCCCTTTACGAGCCATATTTTCGTATTCAGCGATCCGTGTTTATCGATGAAGTGAATGTCACTAGCTTTGTAACGATTTGTGGGCCTTCTGTTTACATGGTCTGGTTGCTGGTTTCCATCGCCAAAGAAGTGTACTTGTGTCCATTAAACGCCTTGCGACTCGGCATCTGTAACGGTTTAGCACCGGTAGGAAGCCAGTCACAGAGGCAGCAGGTAACAAACTTCAGTACGTCGACGATGAAACGAACAGTGCTTTTCCAACTGCTGAAGCGATCGAATTTTATGATAATGGCGACTGAGACATTATAAACAAGTGTGAAAATTTCAAGGCTATCCATAATGCGTAACAACTTACAGGGCCAATCAGATTTACAAAACACAGCTAAGACGGTCTGAACTACCACGAGATATTATACTCGGGTTTATATACCGAAATTCCGCGCATGAATAGGTCAGTTATATTGCACGTTCCAGGAATATGATGCCAATCGTTTGCAAACAACGGCTTTTGCAGTTGAGTCGTGCGGTTGTAAGCAAAAGGCTTTCAGGAGTCCGCTTAGATTTTCCTGCACCAGTAGCAAATAGTCGTCAGATTCAAGATATGGGGAATGCGGTTTAACTTAATCAACGGCCTCTCAAGGATATGGGAGTATGCAGGCAGTCATCAGCTTCAAACCAGGCATAAACTCTTTTTGGAGAGGCGAGCTGCGATCTAAGTAGTAAACATTTGTAAATATTGTCGACTTAAGCTAATTGCAGGTAGGCCATGGCAACGTACGCAGCTTTGGAAGCCCCACCGTAGACATGGAAATGATAATCGTGATCTGATTGAAAACGAAAGCGCGGGAGAGAGTGTCATATGGTCAGTCCACAAAAATCATTGAATACTATGAGGAGCGCATTTTTCTACCAGGCTGCCCACAATCATTGGCCGACGTAACATTACAATCAATTTCTTATGCATATGTTTTCCATTTGGCTAGCGGTATATGACTTGAACCAAACCATAAGACAATCTTGTTGGTGAATCTGAAGACTTTGTCCTCGGTGGCGAATCTGCGCCGAACGTGACCCGGATTACTTGAAAGCAGCAAACACAATTATCAGTTGCTCCTTACGACAAAAGAAATTACTTCATTATAGCAGCGTTTAAATATTTCGAAATTGCGAAGAAATTATTGATGTCTACAATTAAATAGCGTAGTGCAGTTTCTATTGTTTAGCAGTTCTGTAGTCAAATGTTGCTTCAGTACTGCGACAGAGTAAGAGCAGCCATTTTAAGACAGAGAATCTGCCTTAAAGCCGCAGTAGCGTCAATAGATAGTACAGATCAAGCAACTTGATTCTTAGATCCCTATTGCTTCTAATGATCAGAATCTTTCCACATTTATTGCCGACTTATACAACGAGGCAACAACCCAGTATATTAGGCGCACGCGCACAATGACATCCTGGCTGACTGAAATACAAATGAATTCAAATGACCAGTCTAGCTTCCTGTAGCATTACTGGTTACCAACTGAGAGGCTCGTATATAAAAAAAGTTGCCAAAAGCAGTCCTCACTAATAATCGTGGTACCATTGACGCGTCACTGAAACTGTTAGGGCCACTCGACTATGGACCCTCTGTTCGGCGGGCTAACGCATAGTGGTGCAAAATTTATAGTCTTCAAACACCTGACACTTTTTACGCTTTCGAAAGCAAGATTCAATTTTGTCAAAAGCAGACACGACACTTGCTTTACCAACCTATAATCTGTCTTCGCTTTTGGTAGGCGACTCTTTTCCACGATCCCTCTCTTTGAGTGCATGCTATTACCACGGTCAGTGTCGCCTGTGTGTGAAGGTTTGCTTTTTATTAGATCCGTCTGTCGTTGCTGCCGATAACCCTGTTGCGTCGCCAATCCGCGCTACTGATGTCGCTATAATGGCGATGAAGCGACGACGAGCGTAAACGCTGAGTCTGAAAAGCAAAAGTGGCATACGTGATGCTTAAGATTAACAAAAAGACTGCTTATCTGGTCAGCTTTAGTACCATCTATTTGCGAGGTCATCTGCACTATTGGGCTGTCTTTTCCGGCTGTCTTAACATTCAATTACCAAATTTCCGAGGACACTTTTACGCCATGTTCCTCGAAATTAGCTAGCGTATTTAGCTAGCGGAACACTTACCTCGGTTTTTGTCATCACCGAAGCTTGGACATCATTAAGCAATTGGTATAGCAGCTTGCTGCCACTATTGTCTCTACACACGATTGTCATACAAAAATTTTTTAGTCCACAACCATACACACAAATGGGCAAAAGGTCATATTTTAAAGTGCTCTTCCTGTGTGCAATAACTTTTTTATTAAGTACTACAAACTAATGCTAACAATTTGGCTACTGAGCATGTTGTGACTTCATTACGGAGCATATAGGAAATTTTGGTTTTATCAATGGCATCATTTGTAGCACTTAATGAAGGACAGAGATATACAATAATATGAGAGAGATTTAATTTTTCTAGACTATTTGGGTATCTGAGTAAAAAAACATACCAACATGCACCATTCGTCGCATTTTATTTTCTAAATCATCATTACCAGTAAATCATGCGCACTCCCGATGGGATGTAGAGCATGTCAAAAATGTATCATTCCCAGTATATTAATTAATTTTGCTATTCATATAACGACCAAAACAGATTTTGTAAATTATTATTGCAAGAGAATGAAAACCATTCATTCGACAAATGTCATTCAGCAAGATCAGATGAGCCCTGGTCTTATTCACTTTTTTTTAGCTCCGTATTGCTTTCACTTGTTACGCGCACATTTTTCAACTTCTTTTGAAGACTCCTTTCCAATTAAATTTGCGCTATCTTATGTGCTGGTGTGGAGAGCTGATCCCGTGTGGAAGTTATGAAAAGTCAATCCGCATGAAGCTTAATAGTCGCAACTAATATATTGTACCCGATTCAGATCGTCAACGAAATTCAATAAGTGTAAACAATTCTTATTTTACTTTTCTCTTGTCATTTTTGCCTTTGCGTCGTTGTCATGTTTACCTACTCCTGTAATCCGATATTTTTTAGACGATTCAGACAACTGATGGCATACCTATTCTGTTTCCTTCAAGTGTACAGTTTTAGCTACGTCGTTGGAGAAAAAGTGTGTGAACATTTTTGAGGAGGGCATTATACTTTTTCAGGCAGGGCAGCTAGACTGGGTGACAATACAATATTTTCTATGAGAAATTGATTATACATCTAGATTTCTCCTAACATTAAACATCTAAAAATACTGTCAAACAAGGTTTTTGTAGATTTGACTAGTAGTAGCGCTGCGTGTTTATTAAAATCGAATTGGGCGGTCACTTGTACATTTACGCTTTGCGTTACAACAACAAAAATAATGTGACACAATCCATTTCATAACTAGAGGCCTAATATTTTAATACAACAGAGTTTTGGTTTGCAAAGAGCATCCGCAGTGTTTTCATAACACCTACGTACGATATCACGATATATAGACTGCGAGAACCTTGATTTACAATTGCATAATAAATCTTAAGGTTCTCAGCACACTTGAAGCATTTTGTAGTTTTCCGTGGATATTGGTTCATATTTATAATATAGCATATAACAGTAGAGAGGCACCAGCCCCATGCGGAACACTAGAAATAGCTGAGTAAGACTGACTTATATCATTATCGACTTGACTCAGCAGGAACAATTCGATTATAAGGAGTGAAACTACTCCACCGCAGGCGCTTTTCTGATCAAGATATATACATGAGAAAAATGTACGCGCATTTGTGTACAGTTGTGTCCAGGTGAAGCGGTATGTAGAGAACCGTACTCTACCGGATCAGGTATTCGTTACTTGTTATTTTGAAAACGTAAAAACAACCTATGGAACATCGAGATAGAGGACTATAAATCTCAATATTGGTCTTAAGTCCTTTCTTACAAACTGGGACGATTATAATTTGTCGAAGTAACCCACGTATCATGCCATCAGAATACGACTTTTTGGGAATCGATTTAGGAGCGCGACTATGAAGAAAGCCTACATCCTGTAAAAAAATTGGCAGGATAATATTGGGAATGTAATAATTTCGGCTTAACAAGTTAAAAATCGCTATTTCAAAAAAACAACGGCCATGTCTGGATTATCTAGAAGTTCATTCCTACATGTAGAAAGGGCTAAAAGGAAACACGTGACCGGTACAGATAGGAGAAATGTTCGGAAAGTAGAATTTCAATGTATGAATGACGGGTGCGTCCTAAGAATTCTAAAATCAAAAAAGATTTACCATCTGATAAACGGCCGTTAGTCAAGAAGATGCGGATACTTTGAAATTAAGCTCCTATTCGGTTAATACTTTTTTTGCGACATGCATCAGTTTCCTGGATAGAGCATAGGAACATTTTTGGGTGAAGTGCATTCAGATTTCAATACACTTAGTTTTCAATTACACGAATACAACCGGTCGAGTCGGTAGATACGTGTAAAGCTCTTAACAAGGAAGGTATAGCATTTTATAAACCTGTATATTCCGTTCATGCTATCATAGTTCTAGACAATGAAGTCCAATTTGTGATATCAAGGTAAGCAGCTGTTCCCTTACAATCAATTTTCCTGTATCTGGTTTTTCATGTGAAAAAGCAGACGTTACCGACTCTCTCAGGATGTTAATAAGGATAGCTTTGTGATTTATTTCAATAGAAAAAAGCTGCAGGATGATTCTCTTAAATAGGTTTGGAACATATTATGGGGCATAAAGCCAAAAGTAGGTCTAGAATTGAGCCGGACCATTTTTACATAAACAACTTACCGCTAGGTGTTTCCTTGTGATGTGATATCATAGGATAGCTGTTGTCCAGTTGATGTCGGATAAAAAAATAATTAACAACTATCACATAAGCTCTACTATCACAGTAGTCTATTATAGTACATATATCTCAGAAGTTTGTACGAATATCCACATTTCCAAAGTTTTGCTATGTAATAGCAAAATAAGGTGTAGCTTGTTGTGGCTACCAACAAAGGTAACGTATTCATCAGAGACTGTATGGCTAGCTCTAACTGCGTTGAAATGGTATTTGCTAAAAATGCGAACTTTACCACCGCACGAAGAACAGTCATACCGGAACACATTGTGATCGTCATTTTTGATAACACTGTGTGGACTAATCAGTAGGAGTCAGTAGGATCGAGCATTTCGAGTTTCTCGATGAAACAGCCGTTGAGGTAGAAAAACTTTACTTCCTCCTCTAGCTCGTGAGACCTGACAATTTAGGTCAAGCAGAACAGTACAGGCATTCACAAGAGAATCATTAGGTTGATTAGTGGTGTCATCACATTTGAGGTAGATCTTCTCCGTAAATGGTCGTCCCGCGTGTGGTTCGATGATGCTCCCTAAAACTAGGAAGTAGGGTCCATTATGAACTTTTCTCGCCACTGTAATTGATGATTCCTAAGTTTCAAATTGAGTGCGTAACTTGCATACTGAAAGCAAGGGTTTTAGTTTGGGCGTGACAGCTCGATACAAAGTAATTGTAGCGCAATTTAGAGTGATTCTTGAAATAAAAACACGTTTCTTGAAAATGCGGGCAATTGCGGGAACAAGAACGGTTCCATCAGTAGCCGTATCGTTCATTGCGTTTCGAGACAGATTTGCACTCTGTCTCTCACTGCGTTTACATACCAACAGAGGAGACAAGGTTCCTAGTTTGTTAATAAACAAAAACAGCTGCGTACGTAAAGGCAATATCTGTAGAGACGAAAAAAGTATGGTAGCAATGGACGCTCTAAATGCAGGATCGACTTTATGTACGGCCGTGAACTCGAATGCCAATTGATACTGTTTATTTAAAGAGAAATCGACTATATTGACTCACGCATCATGCAAATCCTTTTTGCAGTTTAGACCTAATTGTAAATAGAGTTGTCAGCTCCGCGATACGCCACGGTACAGGGACATAAAAGCCAGATGGGCTTTCTGCACTTCATATAAATAAGAATTTATACGTGATCCATGCGGATAGTCAACGGCCTCCGGATGAATCGAGAAATCCAATAGCTTTAGGTTTTGACTATCAATAGATTTTCTGAGGCAACGTTTGACTTACTTTACAATTTTTGTTTTGTGTAGTCAACCAATCAAAGTGAAAGAGGGGAATTATACTTAAATTAAGTGTAACTCAATGACTATCAATCGCCTAATGGGTCATAATCCAGTAATACAGAACGGCAAATGCCGAATGGTTAGTCCGTAAACTTAATATAGCTTCTCATGCAAACTAAACTGTCGTCGTCGACAAACAGCCTGAAAGCGTTGACTTCCGTACTCATAACAGACTTGGAGAAAAGAGTATCATATGTTCTCCCGAAATAGCAAGCCTAATCCAGCTTCAGGATACGCCATTTTGTAGAAGAAAGCTCCTACAAAATCGATAAAGGATTTTATAAGTGTGCTTAGGATTTAGTTTTTTTTTAATTTCTCATATCCCATGTTTAGGAAACTCCAGAATCGGAAATCTATGAGACATTAAGGGCCTCAAGTCAACTACGGAGAGTTTAGTTTACGCGTGCGAACGCACTCAGCACCGTGTTATCCAATGGAAAATCATTTGGGATAGTTTTTTAGTAACTAGCAGAATTCGGGCCTTTGTCTCCTGTTCATTAAAGTGGGCCTCTGGTTTCAAAACAAGTAATTTCCTTTCAGCGCAAAACGAATCAGGCTTATCTTTCCAATCTGATGATCCAGCTAACCTATGTATCTGGATAAAAATATCTGTACAAAAGATCGGCCCACTTGCCGTTTCTCGGGCGATGCGTCCATTGAACAGAGCCGTATATTTCAATTTTTCCTAAGACGAGTTCTTGCAAAAATTTCCAAGCATTATATACATATATTTATAATTAACAGCTTGGATTTGATTATTAGCTATTATCATATTGTGCACAGCCAGCT